CCGTCGATTGATTGAACCGAAGTGCTCGGTCTCAGGTTGACATGTCGGCTTCTTGAGCAGATGCTTCGACAATGTCTGGGCATTTAATTAGTATCTAATTGGTGGATGGTGACTAGCAGTGGAATCCAGGATGCGCATTTTGTCCTTTTTGGGACTCGTCATCTGGATGTACCTGCATCTCTCAGTGAGTGATGATGTTCCCACCGAGGCTCGAACACAGTGCCCATAGTTTCCAACGCCAAAGCGTTATCCACTAGACCACTTGGGCCACGAGAGCCACCTCTTGTGCAACGGGTCATATTGATTTAATTGAATTTTAGATTTTTTCCCGTCGATTGATTGGACCGAAGTGCTCGGTCTCAGGTTGACATGTCGGCTTCTAAAAATTCAATTAAATCAATATGACCCGTTGCACAAGAGGTGGCTCTCGTGGCCCAAGTGGTCTAGTGGATAACGCTTTGGCGTTGGAAACTATGGGCACTGTGTTCGAGCCTCGGTGGGAACATCATCACTCACTGAGAGATGCAGGTACATCCAGATGACGAGTCCCAAAAAGGACAAAATGCGCATCCTGGATTCCACTGCTAGTCACCATCCACCAAATAAATTCTCTAGCATTGTTGGTGTTTCCTCTGTCTGTCTAATATTTGAACGCTGGTTGTCCCAGTCGAATTGATGTCCATGGTTGTCTGTATGCAGTGATGTGAGTGAGGAAGTAGATGTCATGTCTTCTGACGACTAGTTTATGATCATGGATACGAAGACGAAGGAGACGTCCACTTTGGCCAGTGTAGTCATTTTCGCAGTTGTAACGACTTATTTTGTAGATGATGCTGGTTTTATCTTCTTTCCTTCACGAGTCTTTCGGTTGACACAGAACCAGTTGAGTGAAGTGATTTTGTTGGTTTGTGTGCGACGTCAATTTCTAAAGGCTTGAAGAGTCTTGCAGTGATTTCTGAGATGTCTTTTATGTACGGTAGGGCGATTATCTTTGTTCTTTCCTTGGAGGCCTTTGATTTGATAGGCTGTCTTGTGGGTATAGGTCTTTTGATGTAATTCCGTGGATATCCATTCTTTTGGAAGACATCCATGAGATATGTTTCTTCAATTTTCCTTGAGGTGGGAGTGCTGCAATGAGTCGTGGCTGGCCCTCTTGAATAGTGTTTGTATACAATTCCTTTTGTGTGTTGTAGGATTGTTACTGTTGTAATTCAGTATTTGGTCCCTCAAATCACTCGCTGCATACAGACAACCATGGACATCAATTCAGTTGGGACAACGAGAGTTCAAATATTAGACAGAGGAAACACCAAGAATGCTAGAGAATGGTTTTAGAAGCCTGGTATTCCAGTGAGAAGCGGCAATCAATAGACACATCGAGATAGACAAAATTCACCAACCAATAAGAACGAAATCTCACACACGAATGGTCAAAGTTCAAGTCAAGGGAACAATCAGTACCAATACCACAAGTAGCCTAGAGTAGGGAGTGTGAAAACACATGAAAACAAACAATCACGTTCAAAGTCACCCACCGGGAGAGATGACTAATCAATTCGTGGAGAAATCTGAAAGCTCACTTCAACACATTGAAGAATGCGCTGAAGATGTTGCCTAGTAGTAAGGTAATGAAAGCTTCGCAAATTAACTATCCAGCTCAGAGAACACAACCACATCAAAAAGCTCATAGCATTTACAGTATCATTTATATCATTGACAAAAGTGAATATTTAATCATCTAGATTTCCAATAAATGACAGTTCGTTAAGGACACGTGGGTAAATGTTGACTGCTCTCTGGTTAGGGGGACTCAGAGTGCTTAAGACTACTGATGATATGACTCAAAACAGTACTCATCAGTGGCACAGATGAATTTACTCATTTGTAATTACCCAGGTCTATTAAAACTTCATGTTTTCTATTTCTTTAGCTTTTTGTGATACATGGGGTGTGGCAACTCGAACTAATACCCTTCTGTGCGAAGTTTTGTGTTGAAATTCACTCACTCAGTCAGTCAGTCAGATAACTGACTTTTGGTTATGATATAGTTAAATAAAAGCCTGAATCTTTCAGATTAGTGTTTTGTCATTGTTCTAGACGCCGCTAGTTCGAGTCCTAACTACACAAGGAAGAATTTTCCTCGCTGCTTGATTGATTCTCACCAGTTAAATTAAAGTTGAGAGATGGTTAGGCATTGCTGGTACATGATGTGAAATACCTCTTTTCCTGACGGACAAACTTATTCCAGCCTCCCTCCCTCCCTCCAAAAAATCTATTGCCCAATGAATAGCTAAGGTATATTCTGAGGTTCAGAAATCAGTAAAGTTACAGAATATGAACCCATAGGGAACAAGCGCTTTAAAACAACCAGTCACGTCCGAATCCTCAACTCTCAACCTTCCCCAATTTACTGAACCCAGCACTAATCCTGTTGTATCTCTAACCAACATTTATCATCTTCCCCTAACTTACCCTAAGCTCTCCACAGATTGAACCTAACTCTAATTTTCCCTTAACCTAACAGGCGATTTCGTTAATTAACAAAGTATGGATTCCTGAACTGTAAATTATGACGCGAAGACATTGCCAATCACTGCAAACAAAAGAAAGTTGATCGAAACCACTTTTTCCACTGATATGAGTACCGTCGTTTCAACTAAATTTCGCACGGATAAGAATGCCAAAGCGAATCAGGATCGGAAAAGCAGGACAGAAGCTACAGTCAGTATGCAGAACAAGATTCGGATTTTCAACACTAATTTCAAGTAGATCAGTGCTGCTATATGGTTAAGAGACTTAACACCTCTCAGGAAACATTTCCATTAGGCTACTAAAGACCTTCATCAACATCTTCCTTCATTGGATACGGAGGATCAGATAGCCAGCCAGAAAGGATAAGCTACAAGGAACCCTGGGAGCGAACCAACCAATAACCTAGTGCCCAAAGAATATGCAAAAGGAGATGGAGATGGATAGGATACACGCTGAGGAGACAGCTGAACGACAACACCCACAGGCTCTCGATTGGAAGCCCAGTGTGAAGCAAACAGCTGGGTTTGGGTTCTAAGATGAAACAGAACAGATCGTATGAAAACGGAATGAGAACTTATGGACAATCGTGAATCCAACTAAGGAGGAGTAACATGCAGACATTAGTATATCACACAGTGAAGAAACAGTATTATTTACTGGATGACAATGTTTCAAACACAATTTATTGTTGTTCATAATCATTTCATCAATTATAATCACACGACTTCGAAACTTGAGTTTTATAGTTTTCTTTGTTCTCTCCTATTTGTCGTCGTAGGAGTAGTAGAATTTTCCAGATGTCTGTATGGACAGGTGTTGAATCATTCCTATTACACGGGTTTGCAGTTGATTCGATAAACAAAGCTTCTGTTATCAATCTCTCCCTCCACCCTGTTATATTAGATTTTAGAACTGTCATCTTATCCTACCATCATCCTATTGTATGGTTGTGTGTAATTGCATGTAGTGAGTGGTATAGCTGAACTATTCTCTAGATTTCTTATCTTATTCGAGTCAACTAATCTAGATTTCGCTGCTAGGTTTTTATGCTCGGCTAGTCTGACTGCACCTGTTCTACTACTTTGACCTATATATTTCACCTGACAATCATTCAAGCAGTGTATTAGATAAACTAAATTGTTTTGTTTTAAAGGCTCCACAGGATTGATCCTTTAACCGACAAAGCTTGTTTCTAATTGAGTTTGTGAGTGGTTTGAATGCCAGCCACTTATATTCCTGCATTGTTAAGAATTCTGAGTGAGGTTTCCGAGGTTCCTTCTTTGTATGGAATTACTACTGATGATTTAGATTCCTTATTGTTGGTGTTGTCATTATCTTCCGCATGTTTGACATGCATGTCATCATTAATATTACTATTATTATTTATTTTATTTTTACATTTCCCTACATACTTTCTGACTAATTTATCAGGGTAATTATTAAGTTTCAAAGCTTCTCTTATATGCCTCACTTCCTGTCTTAGATTTTCCTTGGTACTACTTAGTTTTTGTGCTCTATTACTTAAACATTTCACCAATTCTATCTTCACTAATAATAATAATAATTTGCTTTATTCCAAAACAGTACTTGTGATACAGAATGGAATTCTCAGCATTTTTACTACAGTATTGCATCCAGTTAGTACATTATCAATAAATAGAATTCTACATAGATTAAGGAAATCTCAGTTCATTATTACAACAACACATTGGCATATCGGTAGCAAAGGAAAGCTGAAACAGTGTTTGAAGGTGTTAGAAAAGTAGGAGCTGTCATATTTACTGGCGTAAGCGAGAGAAAGAAACAAAGCAGCACATAACAGAAAAAAGAGAGAGAGAATAGGAAAAGAAAGAAAGAAAATGTTGTCCCTATAAATGATGTGAGTTGGAAAGACGAGATCCAGTTTTACTACTGACTATTTAATGAATTGTAGGTGTCACGTCTAATGCTGTCTTTATCGCACAGAACACGAGCTAAGTAGGGTATGGTTGAGTTTTTGTACTTGCTGGTGCGAGCATACAATTTTCTATATAGGCTTCTGGTTTTGCCTGATGAGATGCAAGGGGAGTATTGTGAGTGAAGAGGGTGTTGTGAGTTAGATAAAACGGATTTGGCCCACATTTCACATGAGTCCATGTGCCTGTCAACCAGAATATTAACAAGCTGGTTAAGTGGCACGTTGCTTACCCTGCTGACAACCTTTAACATCCTGCGTAATATGTTGTAGTCTTTCTTCAGTAGCCCGGGAAAAACTAAGGGGGAACAATAGGATGATCAGAAGTCCAAATATCTGTTTCAATGTGTGATATATCTAATAAACAAACTAATATGGAAATACTTACTACCACACTGTCCAAGTTTTACACATATATTAATAATAACATGCAAATATGTTTTGAAGCCTATTATTCTACTCAGGACCCAAAGGAATAACATTATATATATAAAGTGAAAAATTATCTACTCACCCAAGATAAAAGATATTTCCCAATGACAACTGGGGAAATACGACTAGGTGAACACTTATCAGTCGAATTCCCTTTTGAATCGATAGAATAATAAGAACACAGACTGTCTGTTAATCGATTATAAAAATGTTTCGGCAGTTTTATTCTACAATACGGTGGAGGTGTTGGCGTAGTATCTTCTCTCACTGTTGTCTTCAATACATCAAAGCAGGAGTTATCTAAATCTAATGTGGCTAGAAAAGTTAATGCATATTGACAGTGTTTCTCATTTGGATACTTGATAAGTGTTGATTGAAAATTGGATAATAGCGTATCTGGTTGATATTGATAGCATATTCTAATACGACTTGATAAGTGGATAAGTAAGATTTGATAGTCTGTAGGGGTAGAAAAAATAAAAAAGAGGATGGTATTCACAAATTAACATGCATAAATAGTAATTTAATGAATGTAAATGGCAAACGAATGTTATCACTGGACGTAGAATCTCTATTTACTAATGTGCCGCTCACAGACACAATTTGTTTCCTTTGCAAATTATTATCATTATTGTTTCCTTTAATTCCTAGAGGAACATATGGGCTTCAGCCATGCGTCTCCATTGCATCCGGTTCTCTGCTAGAATCTTCACCTGGCTCCAAGTCTGCCCACACATTTTCATCTCCTCTTCACATGACCTCCTCCAAGTCACCCTTGCACTGACGACCAACTCGCCGCTTCCCTTTCGGCCCGGTTCCACTCGAGCAATGGCTTGTCTAGTGATGTCACTTGATGGTTTCCTCAGAGTATGGCCAATCCATCTCCATTTCCTTCTGCATATTTGTTTCACAATCGGTTCCTAGTTGGTTCGCTCCCAGAGATCCCTATTGCCGATCTTTTCTGGCTAGCTATCTGATCTTGAGTATTGAGCGAAGACAACTGTTAATGAAGGTCTGTAGTTTCTTTGAGGTGATCTTTATGACGCGCTGGCCAAGTCTCTGATCCGTATAGAGTAACACTGACTGACTTCACATTGTACTTGAAAATCCGGATGTTATTTTTCATGCTGAGTGCTGTTGACCTCCACACAGACTTGAGAGTAGTGAAAGCTTGTCTTGCTTTTCGGATTCTTGCTTTGATATCCTCTTCAGTTCCGTCGGCCTGTAGTTGAAACGATGCTTCTCAGGTAGGTAAAAGAGGTTGTTTCTTTCAAGTTCCTTCCATTTATGTTGATTGTTGCCTGTTGTTGTTGTTTGTAAATATATGGATGACAAAAATCTGAGTATCGGAATACCAACCTGATATCTAAAAGAGTTGTTATTAAGTTGCACACTCAACGTACAATTTACATCCAACGACTTCATCTATAGACAGAAAGACGGGATTGCTATGGGCTCTCTCTCCCCTTGGCCCACTTTTGGCAGACTGCTTCATGACCAGCCTGGAAGACGGCATCTTAAAATCAACAATGAACAAATTTTCTGCTGTACAAAAATACGTCGTTGACACTTTTATAGTTTGTCAGAATGATTCTGATTTAAACTGTATCTTACAGGAGATTAATAACTGCCATCCTTCAATAAAATTCACAGTGGAAGTTGAAAATGACTCAAAGATTCCATTCCTGTGTGTCGAATTGACAAAAAGAGATAACGGAACTCTGAAAAGATCTATCCATAGAAAACCAACATGGAATGGTCAACTGACAAACTTCGACAGTTGGATATACCTATCAGCCGTAAAAGAGCTCTCATCATCTCGCTAGCCCACTGTACCAGAAAAATGTGTAAAGATGACTGTTTAGAAGAAGAGCTATTTCTCAAAAGTATCATGGTTCAAAATGGATCCCATCCACGCGTTTCGTGGAGAAGAACATGAAACCAAAGCTAAAGGAGAAGAGTACACTTCAGTGCCAAAGGAAACATTTTATGTGAATCTGGAATTCAGGGGAGACCTAGCAGCAGATATCCTTAAAAGGAGAATCTCCAGTTTCCTGAAGAAGACTTTTCCGGTAGCAACTCTAAGAGTGATATTCTCTAACATCCCACTACTTTGGAGCAACGGGAAGGACAGACTTCCGCATATGACCACTTCAGAGTGCATATATCAGTTCACCTACTCATGAGGAACTAGTTAATTAGGTCGTTCTATGCGGGTTTTATCAAAACGTGTTAGAGAACATCATCCAACATGTCTGCAAAGAGGAAGCACTGGTTCAGTCAGAAGCGCCATAACCGAACACCTCGTCAATACCTGTCACAGCATCTCAATTGACTCAACATTCAGAGTCATTTATACAGTAAACAAAAATCTACCAAAGGCAGTGTGTTTCTGACTTCTTTATACTGCGGAAGCTCTCACCATATGCATCGAAAAGCCGGAGCTGTGTTCATAAGGAACTAATCCAGCCTTTACAACTACCACGGACCTAGTTCGGTATGTTCCATTATCCTCCAGTTATTTTTTGTTTGTTTTGTTCTCTGTGCGCAATTTTCTTTCTTTGTCTTCATTCACTTCATCCCATTTTTTTCAGTTATAAAGTCAGTTATTTTAAATTTGTTTCCATGCTCCTCCTGATCACACTTGTGATCCGTTTATAATAACTATTTTACAATTATATTCTAATTCTGTGTAATCTTTTGCTTCTATGCCTCTTTTAATCTATAATCACACCTCCTAACTCACATTTCAAGTTAAAATATTTGATTTCACTAAGCCTCCATGCTGATTTTGTTCACACCTGTAATTCGTTCTATCCCTGTGTAGTTTTTGTTTCTATTATTATTATTGTTGTTCCCTTGGGTTCCTAGTGGAGCATAGGGCTTCAACTAAACGTCTCCACTTGTTTATGTCTTCTGCTGTACTTTTCACTTGCATCCATGTTAGTCCATACTGTTTCAGCTCCTCTTCACACGATCTCCTCCATGTCACCCTTGCACTGATGTCCCACTCGCCGCTTCCCTTTCGGGTACCACTCGAGTGATGGCCTGACGCGTGATGTCACCCAACGACCTCCTCAGCGAGTGTCCAATCCATCTCCACTTTCTCCTGCATATTTGTTGGGCGATTGGTTCCTGATTTGTTTGTTCCCATAGCTTCTTGTTTGTGATTCTTCCCGGCCATCTAATCTTCAGTATGGAACGAAGACAGTTGTTGATAAATGTCTGCAACAGTCTGTTGGAAATATTCTTTGTGACCCTCCAACTTTCTGATCCGTATAGCAAAACTGACTTGACGTTTGTATTGAAAATCCGAATATTGTTGGTAATGCTGAGTGACGAAGACTTCCAGATTGGTTTCAGGTTGATGAATGTGTTTCTTGCCTTCCCGATTCTCGATTTGACATCCTCGTCCGTTCCTCTTGTAGTTGAGACAATGCTCTCTACCTAGATAAGTGAATGAAGTAACCTCTTTCAAATCCCTCCCGTTGATGGTGACTGGCGCAGGATGTTGCTACTGTTGTTATTGCGCCTCACCTAGATTACTAGCTAGCTAGTTTTCTAGCCGGTCCCAAGCCCGGATAAAGAGGGAGGGTTGGGGCATGGTGCTAGTAACTCCACCCCGAAAACTTAACCAAATTGCTACAGAAACTTCAACGCATAAATAAATTAAAAATTTTTGTTTCTAAGCCTCTTGTAATTCATATCGAGTTGAAAATAATTGTCACCTTTTATTCGACTTTAAAATTATTTTTCCAGTTATTAAATATTAATTTTGCATACGTTGTAACTGTTTTCTAATCCTGTGTAATCTTGTCTCTAAACCCCTTGTAATCTATATTCGTACCTTCAAACTTTCATATCAAGTTGAAAGTTATTATCTCCTTCGTTAGTATGTGGAATAAAATTAATAATTGTATCCATGTAAACTAATGTATATAAATACTGTTGTACAGCTTTTGATAATGAAATCGCCGAAAAGATGTCTTTGCTGAACTTCTTGTCCTTTTCCCTCTAATGTCCCGATGGGTATTTTCCACGATAATGAAACATAAATACAAGAATAGAACTTGTGCACTGTGGCGGTAGAGTATATAATTCCATTGTAGATGAAGTTTATTTTGATAAAGTCTCACAGTGCTGTCATACAGTAATATTTGCTGATGACAACGTTTCGAGCATAAATTATTGCTCATATTCATATCAAGACACTACTCACACAACTTTTAAACTTCGTTTATATAATTCCATCACTATTTCAATTCACCACTTGACTTGATTGGTAGTAGTATCTTCCGTATTCGCGGTATGAGTAATGAGTCATTGCATCCTATTGCATGTATTGGATGTAGGCGCGATGAACAAAGATTCAGTAATCAACCTCTCCCTCCACCTACCTACATAACTTTTTAGAATTTTAACTCTCCTCTACCTCTCCTCTATTGTGTGGTTGTTTGTTAATGCGTAGAGTGCAATCGCTGACTTTTTTTCTAAATTACTTATCTTCTCGGGGTCACCGATTCTTAGATAAATTCTTATGTTCTGACAATCTGACTACCCCCGATCTACTAGTTTGACCTATGTAGTTGACCCCGCTCACAGTCATTGCAAGGTATTTTGTAAATTATATTATTTCGTTTAATTGGGTCAACCGACAGGGTCCTTTAGCCTACAGAGCGTGTAGGTTTAAATGCCACCACTCTAATTCCTGCTTTATTTAGAATCCTACTAATACGTAGGGTCTCAGATGTCCCCTACTTATATGAAAAAAACTACTACTGTAAATGACCTATATTCTTTCTTATTTATGTTATGTTATCATTACTAGTTCCACAATTATTTTTATTTTGTTTTTGGCCTTTGGTTATCTTCCTAATGAATTTTATAAGATAGTTATTTAACACCAACCAGTCATTCTACTTTAATTCATCGTTTAGGTTTTTTGATGTACTACTTAGCAATAATGTTGCTCGGTTTGTTAGACCCTTAACTAAGCCTGCCTTAACAGATAACAGATACGATGAATTGAAGTCTAAATATCTATTAGCAGAATGCTTTGGTGTTTTATAAACGCTAGTTTACAGTTTGCCCTCTTCCTTCTGTTTTATTCTACAATCTAACATCAGAGCTAATTCTCCTTGTTCATTTTAATAGATATTTAGACTTCAGTTCCTCCCATCCGTCATCTGTAAAGATTGATTACTGAATCCTTGTTCATCGAGTCTACACCCAACACGTGCAATAGGATGCAATGACTCATCACTCATACGGGGAATCTGGAAGATACTACTACCAATCAAGTCAAGCGATGGAAAATACCGGAGTTATATGAACGAAGATAGAAAGTTGTGTAAGCAACTTGATATGATTATGAGGAGTGATGAATTGTGCTCGTAACGTGGTCATCAGTAAATATTACTTACTGTATAACAACACTGTGAGACTTTATCAAAATAAAT